TCACTGAAAACCAGAAAACAGTTCTTTAAAGTGTGAAAACCTGAAAAATTTCAATTTTTTAGTAGCAAATTGTGAGGAGAATAAACTTGTCATTCGAGTTTCTAAATAGAAAAAAATATATTTCAGTTCTTTTTACAAAATTCCCCAAATTATWCAAAAATTGATGTTTTTTTAAGTCATTTCAGAGTAAAATTTTTCTTAAACAACTAAGCCTAAAAGTAACAAAATTTCACCAAAATAATGCAATTTTTTTCGTTTCTAAGTTAAAAACTTAGTTTTTTTGGAATATTTTGCTGAAATAAACTCGAAAAAAATAATAACTTAAATAAAATTGGTGTTATTTTAGACTATTTTGCTCAATTTATTTTATTTGTGTATAAAATTTTGTCAGAACAAGTCAAAAAGTCGCCTAACTAATTAAAAATATTATTTTCGCTTTTTTTTAAGTTTTTAAAACACGTTTTTGAACTAAAAACAAAATTTGGTCTAATTAAATGGTCTAATTTTTGCTTTTCTAGGCTTTTAATCAATTTTGAAAATATAAGGAAATTTGCAAATATTTTTCTTCTTTTTACAGACAAATGTAAATATTTAAAGACTTAAGTTTTTCTCAGATAGCTTTAATGTTTTATAATTTAATAAAATGTTCTGAAAAATGAAAATTTTGTACTTTTCTAAACGGTTTCAAGGATTTATTTGTATTAGCGACAAAAGAAATAAAATCAGCATTTTTGTATTTACTTTTAAAAAATAGTTTTTTAAAGCCTTTTTGTTACATGAAAACGTGAAAAATTTCAATTTTTCTGTCGCAAACTTGTCATTTGAGTTTCTAAAAAAGAAAAAGTTTAGTTATTTCGTAAATTGCAAGTGTAACAAAATACGTCCCAATGCAGTCTTTTATTATGTAACAAAACACAAAGGTGATAAAAATAAATAGAGCAATTTTCTCCCGTCAACTTAATTACTGATTAATAAAAATAATCACATTTTTACACGAACAAAACGCTATTGAATATTTAAAAATAATTATTTTTTCAAGTGCGAATATTTGATCAAGAAAGATAATCATTCTCTGTTTAATAAGTTTGTTTCTTCCTGAAAACAGACTCAATTTTAAAAAAGTTTAAAAGAATTATTTAAAAAGTGAACAAAAATCCTCACTTTGCAGTTTTCCACATTATTTTGGTAAAACGTTACAAATTTTAGCTTTCTTTTTACAAAAAAACTGTTAAATTTATAGAAAATAT